TAATGGGTTTTCATGTTTTTGTCTCGTCGCTCCGGCCGGACACGGCATCACAGTATGGTGATGGGCGTAACATTTCCGTCTCACGCTTGAGGTATTCGGCCAATCATAACGCACTGGATAGCTGGCCAATCAGAGCATACCTCGCTTTTCAGACCAATGAGGTTTGTAAAAATCGACGCGTTTCAGAAAGGCGGGGCATAGAGGAGAAACAATAATGTACAGTATGTGGAAAATAATGTGTTTTTTAAACTTTAAACCGCATAAACACATTTCATTACACCAAATACACAAAATAATGTTCTTTTTAGCAGCATCATATGACCCCTTTAAAGGAACACTCCACTATTTTTGAAAATAGGCTCATTTTCCAACTCTCCTAGAGTTAAACAGTTGAGTTTAACCGTTTTCTAATCCATTCAGCCCATCTCCGGGTCTGGCAGTAGCACTTTTAGCTTAGCTTAGCATAGATCATTGAATCTGATTAGACCGTTAGCATCTCGCTCAAAAAAGACCACCAACTGCTTTCAATTGAAAGTAGCTAAAACTGGTCACTTAATGTTGCTAGATGACCTCATAAAGGTGAGTTCACTGATCTATATTTATATTTCTATAGATCAGTGAACTGGCCTTTATGACGTCATGGGAGAGTCTCGGAATGTAGATAAGGTTTGTCCAAGAAATTGATTTTGTTGCTAGGCTTTTGAAAAAAAGTCTCTAAAGGGATGAGTAAGCCACTAAATCTAGTGACAAAATCACTAAATTGGCAACATTGGCACACTGACTTCAACATACGTTATTTACATTTCATTGGTCCTCTTGTTTTTGCATGTGTTCATAATTTCTTTGTATGACAGCATGGACAAATATTATGACCGCACAATTTGGCATGTTTCATTGCATTATTATCACAAATAAAACAACTAACTAAGCAACTATGCAATATTCTTACAAAATATTGGATTTTTTTTTTTATTATTAAGGGTGCAGATGTCAAATTTCCTAGGCCGGACATCACTTTTGGCCACTACTATATGGCAGTTTATTGAATTTTCAACTGACCGCCAAACCATACTGCAAAAACAACTTTTGTGAGGATTGTGGGCTTTCCTGGAGTTGTTGGAGCCATTGATGGAACTCATGTTCACATCATTGCTCTAACTGTAAATGAGGAGACATACCATTAAACAAAGCATTAGTAATAATTTGTGATAATTTTGCACAATGCAAAGCATTTAAAAATACATTTAAATTAAAATATTTCAGTCTTAATTAAATGATTTTATTGTAGTTACATTAAATGATTGGTGTTGTGCTGCTGTGACTTTACATGAGCAGGCTCACTATTGGCTGATTCAGAGGTCGAGGTCGGCCATTTTGTGTTGACATCATTGTAGTCCTTAGTTCACAACACTTAAGTGTCACCTCAGTCAACACTTAAGAATCAGTCTTAGACTTAGACTACTGAAAGTTGCTTTTAGCTTGATAAAAGTCTCCTACTCTTAGAAAAGTCTTTTAAAAACTTTTTACTAAGAATTTGTTGACACTTAAGTCAAAGCTTAAAGGGATACTCCACCCCAAAATGAAAATTTTGTCGAAAACAGCGCATCCATGCAGCGCGGCTGACACAGAATAGTGTACGCTGCTTGCGTTCAGCGGATATTTTCCAAAATGGCGCTACGGTGATGCGGAGAGACACAGAGGAGACGAATTGTTGAATAAAGTAATTATTTTTGTTTTCTTCACATACAAAAAGTATTCTTGTCACTTCATAACGCTACGGTTGAACCACTGATGGCAGATGGACTATTCTGACGATGTCTTTCATACTTTTCTGGACCTTGACAGTGTAATTTACTTGGCAGTCAATGGAACAGTCACAAGCCTCCCGGTTTTCATCCAAAATATCTTAAATTGTGTTCCGAAGAAATATCCAAGAACAGGCTAGAAGATGACAACATAACAGTTAAATAATGCATTGCAAACAATAACTTCATTTAAGATAAGAAACAACATATTTAACCTTCTCTTGTGTCGCCATGGCATGCATATATCAGTCCAGTTACTACTGAAACTATAACATTACATGAAAAAACACACTAAGCCAACCAATGAGAAGTACCACCAAAAATCCTCCTCCTGGCTGAGTTTGTCGCCATGTTCAAGCATTCATACGGGATTTATGCATTTACCTAGATTAAACGTGCAGCTGATGCACTCATATTAGATTGTTGGTCCTCAAGGAGAATTTACTTTGTTTGAGATAGATTTATTAACTGCATACATAGTAGTGAAGCTCGGTTTACTAAAGAATCTTTTTATGAACCGATTCTTGTTGAGGGTTCAGCCGAACCGATTCGCGAGCCATTTGAGACGTGTTTGTTTAGGAATAAAAGAATGTGGAAACAATGCTGTTAACAATATTGGGAATTAAAAATATGTTTAAAAATAACATACTTATCTATTGAATTGTAAGTAATTACAAGTAAACTTTGTTAATAAACATGTTTGAATAAACCAACAAACAAACACGACAAGACCGAAAGCACATTCGTAAGCAACTGTTTTACAAAAAAATAAAATAAAATAGTGAAACCGTGAAAAAAAGGGAATCGTTTTTATATAAAATGAACCATTTGAACGAACCGATTCGCTAACATGATTCTGACTTCAAAACACTGTAGTTCAAAGCAATGCATTTACATGATTTTGCATCAGAACTGGAAAGATTTCACCGACCTAAATTATATGAAGTAAATTAAATGCATCAAAAATGAAGGTTAATAATAACGTACTTAATGTTTTTTTGTCGTATAACGTAAACTTGTCACATGCCTTCTGTCTTTGTAATTAATGATTGACAGGTTTAATATCCTATCACTTCCAACGCAACAGCTCTCGCCTATGATGTGTGCCTGTGTCATCAAAGAAACGCCTTTCAACAAACGCGCACTACCATTGGTCCATCATCTGCGAGGCCTAACCAATAGATTTCCTGAATTTGGGGGCGCATTTGGCTTTAGCACATGATTGGCTGTTTGAACACGATATCCCGCCCATTCTTAAAGTCGCAGTAGGAAAAGCGGTTCGTCTGCAGGGCACAGGTCTCGGCGCACGTCCTCTGGCGGGGATTGGACGCACATTAGGGGGTTGAATACAACATTAATCTACGAATTCCATCATGGCAGCGACATTAATGCGTTCCCTTGTAAAGAAGAGGGTAAGAAACACAAAAACATCGCATTTTACAGTCATACACGTAGTATGAGTTTGACGTTACGTCATGTTGTCAGAGTATCAACTTCACGGTCAAACACCACGAGCAGATAGTGTACG